AAACTATTGTCAGATAAATAATCCACATTTTGATCACCAACTAGAAGAAACCTTTTCTTTTCGTCAATGAGCTTATTCAATAATAATTCCAATTTTTCTAAATAAATGACAATATTTCCCTTTCCAGTCCTGTATAGCGAAATTATAATCAATTTACAATAGGTAATCTCAATAGCTGTACATTCAAAGTAATACTGAACGGAGTGGTCCCGCAGGTCATTTCGCCGTTTATATGTAATACCGTCACGTATAAACAGCGCCATGAGCGATTTGTGTGCGGCAGTAACAATCTGCCAGTGTATACCCACACAACCCCACCCGTTCAATCTTAATTTTCTTGCACCATGTTTCACTCAAACCAAGTACTTCTGGTTTTTCAGCGCTACATAATAAATTTATCACTGAAGTTTTGCCACACATAGACCGTACATTTTGATGAATAATTACAAATTTAGTGCCTACTTTAAACGTGTTGTGACACGTTTCGTGGATAAGTTTTTTGGCTGCACAACATTAAACGGACGCACTGATACTCCCTCAGGCCAGTTTTTAATATTTCTGGCAGTCCTCAGTCTGTCTGCAGGTACATCCAGACGAAACGACGGGCACAGGGACAAGGGGCACAGTTTAAAGAAGTGACGCCCGGGATTGTGGAGGGAAAAACCCGCAGCCTATGATCTAATCCTGTCGCTTATGCAGCGCGTGGCAGATAGTAGGTAGTAAGGGTAGTTAGTCATTTGAATGGGTAGTTACACCTTGGTAGGAATGAGCGTTGATGATGTTGGGCTTCGTGTTACTCTAGAGGTTTATTATGTGAGAGGTTGTGTTTTTGTCCATAAAGCTCGAGTTGTATAATTTATTTCCCCTTCCGATTCGGTGTCGGTTTCCAGGATTCTGTACATTTCTTCAGCTATTTACCTAAATTTATCCTTGTCTTTGGTCAGTTCTATCTTGTCGCCTTCGTTACTTTGATAGTATTTCATGTCATGCTTTAGGGAGTCATTCCGGGTGCGTTTGACTTCCTACATTGCGTTGTGGTGCTCTTTCTGTTCGTACTGCGTGTAAAATATGGGAATGTTTTCTTCGGTGAACGAGCCGAAGTAGCAAATACTGGATTCCTGGATAGTCATTGCATAAAAAACAAATGCCAACAAGAAAACTAAGCAGACAATAATGATAAATATAATTTTAGAGCAAGTTTTACAAGTTTATTGCCCCGTCATGAAACACGAGTGATGTGTCGTAAACGTCACTTACCATACGCGGGAGTCGATGGTGGCACAAGGGACAAGATCAAAGCAATTTGACTTGAGAATTTTGACTCCGTATTCGTATCCGTAGGATATTATAAAGATTTCTAATTACACTTTAATTAATTTCACTTTACAAAGTCTCACTGCTAAGCTGCACTGTTCAAACCCTATAGATATGGCGTAGACTAACCACTTCGCTTCTAATACACTCATACTACATATTAGAGGAACGCTAAAAAGGGATTTTTTTTATGATACCAAGCAATGGGACGAACAACTCCATAACAAATGCAGTGTCACTCAGAACTTTAAATCGCAAAGATCTCATAGACACAGCTACTGCGCCCGACGCCCTCAACCCTTACCCTTCAAAACCGGAACGCGGTAATGCTCACATTACTCCTTGGCGACAGAAATAGGTAAAGTGGCAGTACTTACCTGGACGAATTCTTTCAAACGGAGCTCCACTTCTACTAAATTACTGAATTAAGGTAACAATGTTGATAAGAACCACTGGCCCCATATATCGGACATGTTCGTCTGCTATGTGGCAGAAGCATCTGTCTCGCGCGCCGCTAGCGCATCTTAGTAGCTATCTAGACGAGGGTCTAAGGCGAGGAGACGCGCGAGACACGTGAGTTGTCCTTTAATTGGAAACTGTGTCCGGACATGTCACAGGACATTTCCGGCAATAACTAGAGCAGGTAGAGGAAGAGCTATATATACGTCCTCCGGTAGGAACAGGAGGATGTACATAAAGCTAGCAATTCCCAGAAACCTACCTACCTACCTTCTGGGAACTGGAGAGACGCTTTAGCGTCGGGAGATGGGCGTGCTCACCTACGCCACCAAAGTGGAGATTTGGTAGTGGACTTTAGAGACTACGGCTTAGCGGTGGCAACCGTTAGTTGTGCAATGCACAACGGGAAGTGAGCATGCCAACAGCTCCCGTTCGGTCCGGATAATAGAGAGGATTACTCTACGTGCACCTTGAGAACCGCACTAGCCTCTTGAGGACCGGTTGAAGTCCGTGACGACGGTCTGTGACAACACAGTACATGAGCTGATCCGGTATTAGGACCAGGTTACAAGATCCCTGTGCTTGCACTGGTTATAATGCCCTTTCCACATAACCAAGAGATTGATAGGGAGGGTCACTATAATCAAAACTTAATTAGAAAGATGTGGGACTGACCTCATATACCAAAACGTTTAATTGAAAAGAGATTACTTCGATCATTCGATTGATGAACCTCATCATTGTACGCTGGCTCTTAGATGCTCAACCTTAGAATTAAAATAGAAAAACCGGTTTGAGATCAGTCCATCCATTTAGGAGTTACGATACCACGATAAAAAGACACAAAGAAATACAAAGACAAAGTTTTTAAACTTATTACTTCCCTCTTAAATGCCACTTAACTTGATCCATGGCACCAAAGGAGCAATTATTTTCTTCGGACACTAGTTAAAAATATTTCAGTCATGATGTTACTACCCACAGTATTAGAATATTTTCCCTACAGTAGCGCGCGCCCGTGTAGGCACTTGAGTTGTCGTACGCAGATGTGCAAGGGTTATCAAAAAATATAAATAAAATGTGATTATAATAGTGTAATCATTTATTGACAATAATTATTACTTACCAATACACAATAATTATTAAATATTACTTTTCTAATAAAAAAACATTTACAAGTGTCGCGCTGCCAAATATTTACGTGACACTTTTCGTTTAGATATTTTCAGTTTTCTATTATTTAATCTAACAATATAGTTTATTCGCATTCGGATGACCAATTAAACCATAAAAGAATGGTGGAAACATGGACATGGTCGTGATTGAAATTGTACTTGACTTACTAAGTCAAATACTTCTATGACATTTTAAATACCTATATTTTGATTTCGAATTGTATCCATGCACGGAATTACATTTTATGTGCGCCATTATACATGCATATAACGATTTTTGTAGAACTTGCTGAACGTATTTAAAAATACATTCAACTCTCGCGCTCGATCCAGCAAACTAAGCGTGTTTGCAGGATGCAGCCCGCGCGGCCCGACTCCCCTCGAGTACACCACCAACGCTCTGCGCAAGTACATTTGTAAACTATGCTAGTACTCCCATTCCTTATCTTGTACCACGTGCAAATAAAGGACTCAACCCTACATCCTGAACAGTTTCTGGGATTTCATTTAACGGCGTTTACGATTTTGCGGGAAGACAAGTGCCATAATTTTCTCTTTTATTGCTTTTACGTTTAGCTTCCTTCGAGTGTTTGTTTAAAATATCCATATTTAAACTGTCTGTGAGACGTAAAATGTAACTATACCTCCTAGGTTGATATAATTCGCAGTAGAGCTACTTGTGCAAGAATTTGCCTCCTATTTATGCCGTCAAGCAGTAATATGAGCGTTGCTGCGTTCCAGTTTTGAAGGGTAGGAGTGCTGGTAAAATTACAGGTACATGGGACTTTTCGACGAACGAACAAGTAGTGTGCCTGAGGCCTGTCTATAACAGTTGCAGCGCCACTCAGAGCTTCAAATCGCAAAGATCTAAAGGGCACTGCCACTGCGCAATTTTAATAAATTGGAATTGTTTTAAAAATTAGAAACCATTTAGATTCCTGCGTTCACTAAACACTAAACGATTTTGAAAACAAAAAAAAACTATATTTTATAGTTATAGTTGCAAATACATCAAGTTTGACAATTTGGATTTTAGATCTTTGTAAGCGGCATAGATTTAAATATCAAGTATCAAGTTTGCCGTGCTCTTGTCCCTGTGCTAGTTGCCAATCTGGAATTTCTGTACAAAGAAAGATAAATTTATGTTTTCACACTCTAATCCACTGTTAAAAATATTTCATTAACGTGTCCAAAAATCATAACATTTGCCATAAGTGACACTTATTAGTGTGCTTGTTAGTTGTATTGGTCGTTTTAGTCAGCATGTTCGTAATACTATTACATATCGCACTATAATATCGCACTGCTATTACAATAGTGTCGTAACTCAAAATATGTGAAATTCCAGGTTATACTAATGCTGAACGTAATTTGATTCTCTACACGGCAATAAAAGCGTCATTAGAATATTGTAAGAAACAATTGAAAGATATCTACTTAAGTCAAAATGAGACAAAACTTTTTGTAAGTCTTTACGCAAATATCAGTATATTTGCCGAGAACAAAATTATTTAGATGTCTGTAATAAACTTTAACCGTGTAGATTTAAATATAAATTTTAATAATCTTTCACGGAAAGTGAGTAATTCGTTATTCATCGATTCTGAAAAAATACTCGTTTTGAGTTAGTACACTATTGTATTAATAGTGCGATATGTATCTTACGAACATACGCCGACACGTTACATCAGAAATATCGTATGACAAGTCGGCGAACATCCCCATTCACAGCTCAACAAGTTGGCTACCACGGCCAACCCGCCATGTATTGTATTGTTCCGATAAAAAAACACTTATTTAAGGAGTCTTCACTAAGTACATAAACTTAACCTTAACGATCTTATACAATTTATATTTCAGAAAAATTGTTTCCCTTAATTAGAATGCCTTAGTTTTCGGTTTAATTTGAAATAATTCTGTACAAAATCTTTTAAAATAACTATATGAAGAACATTCAAATTGACCAATCAACGCAATGATATGACACAACGTGATTTGTAATGGATTTGTAGTTCACGTTCAATCTTTATATTTTTGAGTTCATGTAGACATGCATTATAGACCCTGTGGAACCATGCAGACAGACAAATTCCGATCACGTTGCGTCTAGACAGTCGTTGTATGCAAATGTAGTGATTGTAGTGTGATTTTCGGCAACGACTTTGTATTGTTTTGGAGGTTAAGTTTAAGGGGAAGCATTTGATAGAAATATGTAAGGAAAATGTGATATATTTCTATCTGTCTTTTTTGAAGATGGAGTAAAATGACAGTTAATTGTGGAAATTTTTACATTATAAACGAACACAAAGAGGACGTTTGGTATGCTTTTAGAATTACCTAATCTTTTGCTGTCTTAGGTTATGAACACCGTGTCTAACTGCATGAGCGAAGGCAATAAGAGTCAACGCCATCAGATGTTCATCACATTCCATCTCCAACCTTTTACGCATTAGACCCTTCAGTTTCGCTATTTTCTTCGCATCTTTGGTACGTAACATTAAAACTTCTGTCCGATTGATTTCGAGATTTCGATTTTCGGCCACACAACCATTATTATCAATCCAAGATCCTATCTTCAGAAACCAATGTTTTCGAATGAATTCTTCGTAACCAAGTGCTGCACAGAGAGCGACTGAAATGTAATATGACTACATTTTAGAATATCCCATGATATACCTTATACCAAACATCACACAGTCTACAGTCGCAAAAAGGTCTTTTCAAGAATAAACGGTAAGTAAGCCAAAATCACCCCGCTTACACGTGGTTTGGCAGACAATATCATTAAAACTGCAGGTTTAGACGCAGGAAGACGTGTTGTTCTCCTCTGCTTATCTGTTCCTGGCTTCATCACTTCACTTTACCCGCATGACGTGCATTGTTCAACACAGGCATCCCGCAAAAATCGCCCTAACTATCGGTCTCAGTCGCATACTTCTTTATTCGAAGTGAGAACCTGATTAATGGCGACCAAGCTGACAGATTGGTAGCAATATGGAACCGAAGGTTCATCACATATTTGACACGTTATGATGAGCTATTTTCAGACTGTTTTAATTCGCTGTGCGATGATAAAAATGCTAAAGTGAAGATACCAATCAAGTAGCCAGTATTTGATTGCAATATTTATACACTGAATATCTTCTATTATCCTTGTGAAAGAGTAGTATCCCTTCCTCTCCTTTCCATCAGCGGACCACCCGTGCCGGACTGCGTTGCCACAGTTGGACGGTCAGTTCAATACCGTCCCGCACTAAAAAGTTTGGCAATTCGTTTTTATGCCGAACCATCAAATTGTGGAACCAACTCCCGGCGCATGTATTCCCTCCCCTCTATAACATCGGGTCCTTCAAACGTAGTGTGAAGAAGCATTTGGCCAGACCGGCAAAATGATAGTGACGGAGTGAAGATATTTGTGTTTTCCATCCGTTACTCTCAGCTCTGGACTGTATTCGCACTTTCCATCAGGCGCGGTGCAGTCATTTTGCCGAGTCGCAATAAAAAAAAAAGTAACAGTAGAGCTCCTTGTGAAAGTGTTGGTCCAGGGAAGTACTGCCAGCTTACATATTTCTGCCGCCAAGCAGTAATGTCAGCATTACGGTGTTCCGGTTCTGAAGGGTAAGGGCGCTGATGAAATTACAGGCACATGGGACTTGTCAACGTATGTCTAAGGGTGACGGGCGCAGTGGCAGTGCCCCTCAGATCTTTGCGATTCAAAGCTCTCAGTGGCACTGCAACTGTTATGGACAGGCGTCAGCGTGAGACAGCTTACCGTCAGGCGCACGACTAGTTCATCACGTCGCGATAGATATTATTTTTTAAAAATCATGATGTTTAAAGTAAAATTCTTTCGATATGATTGGACTCGGACCAGTGTCTGTTACCAGGCCGGGGCTACCACTCCTTACCAATTTCGCTACAGACCGAGTTCAGGTACTTGATTGGTTGGATTCTTAATCAAATTTACTTAGGTATACTATTTACTTACTATGTTCCACAAATAAATCTCTAGCGAAGTATCCTTTTCTGGCCAGATAAACCGCCTCTCTATACATGAATGAGCACAGCATCTCCATGTGAACGACATCCTCCAGCTCCGAATATAAGTAGCAACGGCGTATGTAATAGTACATAAAGTTGTTTACTAATCTGGAAAACAGATGACGTGAGGATGAGGTTATATATGGTAGGGTTTTTCTATGGAAAATGTAACTACAGTCTATAATGGTTTTTACTTCTAAACTGCCTCTGTGGCCGAACAGTGACTATGACTGCCACGTCGAGGTCCCAGGTTCGATTCCCGGTTCGGGAGAAATATTTGTATGGCCTACATTTATTTCTCTCGCGAGTTTGGGTGTAATTTGTGGTTGTCTATGTGTGTGTCCATGGCACCCGCGACACAGGGTTTCCCTAGTGCGGGACTATGTTGAGTGTGTACGTTATGAGTGTATACGTTATACTTTTGACTAATCCTTGAGTTTAGCAATCGTAGAGCTCCTTGAGAAAGAGTTCATCCAGGGTAGTACTTCCAGCATACCTATTTCAGCCGCCAAGCAGTTTTTAATAGGGTAAGAGTGCTTATGAAACTACAGGCATATGAGACTTATCAACTTTATGTCTCAGAGTGACCGCTACAGTGGTCGTCTCTCGGATCTTTGCGATTTAAAACTTTGAATAGCATTGCAACTGTTATACTGTGGACAGGCGTGTCGCTTAGATGCTACCAGCTAACGACGTGTTGGCAAGGTCAATTGATATCATAATAACTTCAGTTTCCGTCAATTTGTTGTAGATGATGTCTCTGTTTGATACTTAAAAGCTATCTGTATGGATCGCTATCATGCATTTTGAAGACCTAATTATCATTAACGCTTATTTTTGGCATAGGTTTTGAAAGGGTTAGTGCCTGCATGAAGTTCCGAGTGTTTCAAATTGCTTTAGATTCAGCAACTTGGTCCAGAGTACATATCTCCGCGTAAAAAAGACTTGTATCCCACAGGATTCACAATTTTAATCCAGTATAAAGAGAAAAAAGTACCTATGGCTAAGTCCGTAAGCGACAGATTGTTCAGAATTGATAGCCGCAAAACAATAAGGGTCCGGTCGACAAGGTTTCATCTCTTGCACGTGAATTGGTTCAGGGTTCTTTGATATTCTCGATATACATTCGTCTGAAATGGAGACACATGGTAGGCTAGTTCATCATAATAAGTCAAGAAAGATAATAATATCATTTCTTATTACACATCTAAAGTCTACCATATCACACGTGGCATAACCTTTGTGAGCACTGTTTAGACCAGTTCCTGTCCAAAGAAATAAAAAGTCCACGAGTTGTTTTTGACAAGCTAACTTTCAGTTTCAATGTGTGAAAATGAATTCCTACTCACAATGGAAATGAAACTATGTGTTCGGATCTAAAATCACGTATATTACTTTTCAAACAAATTAACGTTTTCGAGCTCCTTCACAAGTCCATGGTCACGTCTGGCGAGCCACGCAATTATAGACCCGAAAAAAGTTTCACTTTCTTTCAACCAAAAAACTCCCACTAACAAATGTAAAAAATATAATTTTTCAAGAGTTTTTTGAGGCAACAGTGACCTCACGAATTCCTAAGTAGGAGGGCCTATCTGTGCGTGTTAAGAGCGTTTCTCTTGTCTGTGTAGAGTCGTCCCAGTTTCTTCTGTGTCAGGATCATTTGTACAACTCTCATTTCCCTTCACTCTCACCTTTCTAGCGTAACACTCGGCCATATCTACCTCGACAACATTCAGTCTTTCATTTTTCTTTATTTTTGTGTAATGTCATCAAAATTATATTTTATTCGTCTGCCGATTTCAATGACTTGGACGTTGCTTACAATTTTATACAAACGCCAAAGTAAAATCAATGTAAAATTCTTTAAATAGTACATATACAAATTGTGTCTGTTCTCTGTTATTTGGTAAAATATTTAAATTCATCTTTATAAAATATTTATATGCAAAATTCAATAGTTTCTCACATTACAAGTCCTCTGTGAAAACTGGGAGAACGTTACACCCTTAAATGGATGGTTCCATTTAGGGGTGAAACTTTTTTATTTAAATCCAGGACACATTTTAGAAATGTTTTAAAATAATTATTAATAACTGCAACACAGCGTTTGTAAATGTACCACGTTTCCTCTGAAAGTACAAAGTTTCAAAATCGCCACCGTAAATCTATAAGTATAACTTCTCGTATACGTTTACAGGTGCTTGTCACCTTTTCCATCAAAACAAGGAATGAATGGGTGAAAAAAAAAAACATATTCTAAATCTCATTACTTACCTGAGTCATGAATAGTAATATTATAAATCAAAATGCTTTCTATCAAATCAACGTATTTTATCCTAGACAGAGTTCCCCTGTCCATTTCCTCCGTGTAATTATTTATCTGCAATTCGCTAAGAATCCACTTTTTCAATTTGTTTCTGTTGAATTTGCCAATGGAGTGCACTAAAGTTACATCTTCCTTGAATAGGATAGATACTGTAAATAAAAACGTCTATTACAGGAATTCAGCAAAATGCCTAGTGTAAAGCTAGCAGTACAGCGAAAGACTGCGGCCCGTTTGCATAGAATATCAATAGCAAACGGCAACACTAAAGGCGTTTCCGGTTTAGTTTTGCCGTTTTTAATCACTGTTTCTACTAATCATCTTTCTTCCTGTAGCGCCACCTGTGCCTAGGCAATAGACGCTGGTTTGAATCCAGACTGGTTAACGAAATTTTCCTTTGTTTTGTTCGATCTTTGTATCAATAATAATAGCGGTGTTTTCACGAAATTATATAAGTGGGTAATTTTCAGGTAAGTTTTTTGTACTCAATTTTGGTAACAATTTCTTTTTATTTAAATATTTATAGAATATCATCATTAAGTAATATTTAATATTCGAGTGTGGTAACCTGAAATATTCTTTAATAAATATTAAAGAATATTTCAGGTGATGACGATGATATATTCGAGTAATTAAATAATAAAAATTGTCACCAAAATTGAGTACAAAAAAACTTACCTTAAAATGACTGAAGTAAAAACATCATGATAGTCAGTAAAATAAATCAGATAAAAAAAAAGATTTGTTTAGTAAGTTTTTCTATTAGAATTTATACTTACTTCTGTACTCTGCGTCATCCCAACCTCTATTCCTAATGTTGTATACATAATGAGAGAGCAAATATTCAGCTTTGAATATGAGGTCCTTCATCAAATTAAACTGCTCTTGCGGTATTATTGCTTCATAGTCTCTTAAAATTCTTTTTAATATTGCTGTAAATCAAATGTGGCCTATTAATTTTTTAAGTCACTTTAGTACATATGTTGCGTGACGCCTGTCTCCTACCGAGGTAGGTAAAGACTAAGGATCTCTACTTGCTACACTCTTGACTTTAGAGTCAATGGCTTAGCGGTGGCAACCGTTTGTTGTGCAATGCGCAACGAGAAGTGAGCGGTACCTATCTGGAAAATAAAGAAGGTACTCTACGTGCACCCGGGGTGACTCAGCCGGGGCACTAACCTCTTGAGAACCAGATGAAGTTCGTGACAACGGTCTGTAACAACCCTGTATATTGGCTGTTCTGGAGTCAAACCTCAGGTTCTGATTCCAGAACAGACAGCGTACAGGGGTACCTACAGGAACCTTCTAAGTTCAGACTTAGAAGGTTCCTGCAGGTGCACGCACAGAGTATAGGGGTTGCTACGCTCTTCACAAACCTCCTTTAACCCGGCCTTGTTTAAGGACATCCCCAATCTGATTGAGATATGTACGCCGAGGTCTACCTCCCCCCACGCCTCTATCCACATTCTCTCTATAAATTTGTCTATTACTAATGCAAGTGGATTATAGGTACTACCAGACAGACAGTCAGAAAGTCAGATCACGTTGCGTCTAGACAAGCGTCTTATGCAAATGCATTGAATGTAGTGCGGCGCTTTTCGGTAATTACTTAGTATTCTTTTGGAGCATGGATTTAAGGAGAAGTGTGAATTGATTGAACACTGTACATTCTAGCTTATAAGGTCCCTGTGCTTGCACGGGTTATAGAGCCCTTCCCGTATACCTAAGAGATTGGCAGATGGTCATTATAAACAATACTTATGTGGAAATATACGGGACTGTACATTCCGGCATCTGCTAGTTGTGCAATGCACAACAGGAGGTAAGCGAGACAACAGCTCTGGTACCTATTTGGATAATAGGAAGGATGTTGTACATGCACCTGGAAACCCGAAACACTATGCTTTCGAGACTCGGATGAAGTATGTATCAACAGCATGGTCTGGGGTCAGGACCTGACTTGTAAGACTTGTCTGTGCAGGCTTGCTCACCCGGGTAATAGTGCTCTTCCCGTAAAATAAATTTGTTGTTGACAGGGAGGGGCACTTTAAAGGAAACTTTGTAGAAGATATGGAACTGTACATTCTGGCAAAAAGAAACGACCGCCACCAAAGCAATTTCAAATATCTTGGAAGACTTTTCCAACTTCTCCGATACCCACATTTTCGATACCAACATTTGCTTTCATAAGCAAGTAATAATTGGAAATAGAAATAGCAGGAAGAATCCAATATACCATTAAATCAAATTCGTATATTTTGGCACATAACAATGTGGAATCTTTTTGTGTGTTCCGGTACAGATAAAACCTTTTAGGGAGTGGATTGTTGGTCCATAATTACATAATATTGTTATGATTTTTTATATTTTTAAATTTTTATTTGATATTTTACTTTTTGGCAGTTTTGAGTTTGGAACACATTTTCACATGTTTTTAATTTGAAGTAATCCTATTTGGTACGGTCGCAGAACAATAAATACAGTTAAAGTGGTTAGCGTCTACCGCGTGCCAACTATACGTCTCGAAAGACCTACTCGAGCTCAGTCCCCCATTTTTGCTTTGTATGGTAATGGTTGTGTGATTATCATCAAAATAGTAGAAAAATGGAGTGCATTGAAAAATGATAACTGCACCAAAAATATTGCCCTTAATAGTATTTAAAATCATCGGTAGTCTTATTTTAATTAATTTTCAATTTTCTGATTATCTATTCGTTCAGATGTTAATCGTTCGGCGTAGTCTAGCTACTGACCGCAAGATGGCAGTGTATTGAATAAAATTTCAATATAAAAACATCGTAATTTGCAATAAACTTTCAACGATGTAGCAGCTGGGTAAAGTTTAAATCATATTAACAATCCAGAATTTGTTACGTCTTTTTAAATTAGAAACGATGACCAATCATTATCAAGATTTCATAGTGTTTATCATTTTGTTCATGTTGTTGTGTTGAGACTTATGGCACTTTTTAACCGACTTCAAAAAAGGAGGAGGTTTTCAATTCGACTGTATGTTTTTTGTTTTTTTTTTGTATGTATGTTACGCGGTAACTCCGGTATTTGTGAACCGATGTTCATGATTCCATTTTTTGTTGGAAAGGTGGTACTTCCATAGTGGTACCATTTCATTTTGAAGAAAATCATCCACCTCTAAGGGTGGCTGTTCACGCATGAAGATTCATTTTTAAAAATAGCGCCTAAATTTTACTTAAGGAGCAATTATTTGATTTTGATCAAAGATTGTGCTATTTTTCCAATTCAAGGCGTTTGAGTAGTGAGAACCGATTTTTATTATCTCCAGTGTCAAGTCCTGTATAGTGGTGAATTTAAGGATATTTCAATAAAACTTAGCAAATAGACGTAATTCCACGTACTTTTGAGGTCGGTTTTTTTAGTACTCTGTAGGTACTGAGATTATATTGTTTTAATTCTTCTGTGGGTACGGTAATTGATTTGGTAGTATAGATATTGTGCTGCCGTTCACATACTCCCCACTACGGTACTTTACATAAAATACCGTAGTGGGGAGAGTGGGATGAACGAATGTCTACCGTTTGATAGAGAAGTCGGTTAGATACAAACCGGTAAACTTTGACAGTTCGCGACTTTTGAGACTTTATTCAATACATATTATAATGATTGAAAGCGATTTGGATTTCATTTCACTAGGCTGCACATTGTTGATCAAAAACATCGAGTATATAACCAGAAATAGAGACGAAATGTCATTTAATTTGTTTGAAAACTATTCTGCCATATCATTACTGTGACAACTGCGCTCCGATTGGCTAGCCCGAGTTCGAAACAATTGACGGGTGTCGCCAATGGGTGTCGTCAACTGTTTCACTTCAAATCAACCAGTTACCTTGAATTTGGCTATAATGGACGATATTTGCAAAATTACATATTTAATATTTAATTACCAATGAAATGTGATTCCGTTTGTTTTGTAATTAGATGTTTTGCTGTTTTTCCCACATCACCGAATAGAACAGCACGGCATATAGAATTTTTTTGGAATATACGGAGACGTACACACAGGTTAGTAGTTGGCCTGTCTATATTTCAGTGCAAACGAGAGTTGATATTTGTAAGAGCTGTATCGCTAATGTGTTGCCAGAAATATATGGCCCTTATTTCGTCTCTATTTCTGGTTATATACTCGATGATCAAAAATCAGGTACTACTTATATGACTATTTATTGTTCTTCCAGCATGACTCGCTTGTGTTAATATGGAACCTGAAAAGGACATTTCTAAGACTAAACTTACCCTTCGAAAAATAATATCCAAAAGCACTGTTAATATTAGTATTGTTAGGCCCTTTAGAAAAGTAATCAAAAATTTTCACTAAACTATTGAGATAGAAATTCACGCCATCAAAATTAATCTCATTTTTTGCAGCCTCCAAATATTTAACTGGAAATTGATCACCTTTGTACATGCGATATTTATTGTCACAATCCATTAAAGAAATATATATCAAAATGACTATAAGTCGCTGGTACATTTTTGTGGTTAATTCAAGTGGATTGCGAAAGTGTAAATGCATCTATATGCACAACAAATTAATTTGTTACGCAACCTTGTCGTTTTAAATTGAATAACAGTCACTTATAAAGTTCCAATAATTAATCGAACAGAAAAGATTACGTTTATTCTAGAAAGAAAAACCAAATTAACAAATTTAGAACAGATCATGATGTAGTGAATGCAATAGGATCTAAAGCCGCGGTTGGTATCAGATTCTGGCTTTGATTTCAGTGGATACTTTAAACTAAGAGACACTCCTCTCATTCAGTCTTCACCCAGTGCTGCCCTCTAATGAGCGTACGAAATTCCATACAGGGTAGGCACAGACCATACCCAGAGAACATAAAAACTGTCGGAGCCAGGAAAGGCCTTCAGTTCTTTAATGCTGTTGGCTTTGGCTCCGAGCTGTAATTAGTGATGATCACTTGATAGACCAGTCAATAGTCGCAGTGATGAGGGGCCGCATAGGCGCCGAATGAAGCCACCCTAATAATAATAATGCGTTTCAAACCAGCTAACAAGCTGAGAAGAATAAATCAAATAATAATAATGTGTGTCGCCTGAAAAATGTGCTAAACAGCTATTTGTCAGGCGTGAATAAGATCCGAGCTTATAATGGTCATGCCTGTTCTGATGTACACATTTGGCGTGCTTAGATGGACTCAGACGGAATCAGACGCTCTGCATAGACGAGTCCGCACGACGATGACCTCTCACCGATATCCCGCGGAAGTGCGGAGATAGAGGCCTATTAAGTGTCAAAACCATGCACAACCGCGAGATGTGCAATCTCAGAAACTACTTTTTGACGATGACGGATGATGTGATTCGTGGGGAGATTGTCACATGTGATAAAGGACTAACTCCCTTATCGTTGGCAGTTGGAAGTGCACGCTTCACCGTCGACCTCATGGTCACTTTCTATCAGGTAAGACGGAGGTTAAATGAGCAGTTATTTTTTTATGTAAAAAAATAACTGTGCCAAAGTCCTGGAGTATGGCGCAAGGTGGAAGCAAGCGGCTGAGGATCCTAGTTTGTGTCATTTTATTCAAGTGAGGTCGAAATCGTTTACCTTCTATCCATCCCAGTTCAAAGTTTTATTTCCAGAATACTTGTAAAGTTGTACTTGTTGTAGCTGACAACGGAAGTAGAAATAATGCAATAAAACATTGAAAAATAAGTTCGATGATGGAGCATACACACCTATAAATTGCCTAATCACTCTCGCCTTGAAAAGGCCAAAGTTATAGTGTTCAAGGAACAAATCTGCAGGCTGGGATTGCCACTCTAATGCCGTGCGCCAAATAATACTATTTGCTTCATCCTTTCTGATGAAAAGTCGTGAAAAAGCTATTTCCCGAAATCTAAAATATAGGGTTATTCAATACTAAAGTGGCCTAGAGGTCCATCATTCGTCTATTAAAAAACATTACGAAATGTATATCGCTTGAGCGCAGCCTAGTGAGACTGTCATCTTAATAAAAATTCTAGAGCCGGCAAATAGGCAGTACGACTATTTTAGTACTTAATCAAACTATCTAGGTCCTTTTTAGCAGTCTAGCCTAACATCTGGAACACCGTCCGCATAAATTTTACCGTTTTCAACACAATGTATTTGAATATTTATGTATGTGCATACCAACTAGTAATTTTATTTCAGAAATTACTACTGGAACCCAGTATGTAAGTGAAATGACTAGAAGTATAATGACAAGTAAGGTAATAAAACAATTATTTTTATCTTAATCTTTATTCGTTACTTTAACTTGTTTGACCACGTTATCGTTCATTATTTTCACTTAAAAGTACGCATAACTTATTTTAATTTCATGTACGTTAATCCAAATCATTTTCTAGCCACAAACCCCTAGAATGTATTTATCCTATTACACGTAGCTTAAATAAGCAGCCATGACATACATGGTCATATTACAAATAACGTAAGTTTCATTGTTCAATGCACAATTTTTGATTTTTCCAAAAAAATTTACCTTAACTTTACTTATTTCATAAATTAAATGTACCTACTTTAAAAGTACTTTACGTTACTGTTAACTTAATTTAGACTTAATTGTAAGCCCAAATGGGTAATAAAGGAATAATTAAAATTATCTTAATGTATTTTTAAAATACAAAGAAAAAATACAACATAATATGCAAGATTACAAAATCAACAATAGATGTAATGACGTCACGCTTAATTTAAGCAAAAATATTTAAAACACAAAAGATTATTTTCAGAATATATTTTGGTGTATCATATAATGAGTTGGCCAAAAAGTACGTACGATTTTTGCCACTAGCTAACTTTAAGCAAAATAGTAGATTGTACAACAAGTGCATAAAACGCGCCATTTTACCCGAGACGAGTATATCCACCCAAGCCGCAGGCGGGGATGGGTACTTAAGTCGAGGGTAAAATGGATTTTATGAACGAGTTTATACACTATGCTTTTCACTTCGATTGCGAGGAAATTAAACAGCATTATTACAAATAAACGATTATTTCATTAAAATTGAATGTAAAATTACAACAATCCCGCCAATGTACCACTTTTTTTTTCTACACGTGACTCAGGTCGGACTACATAATGCTCAGTTATATTTTACAAGCTTTTATTTTTTATGCATTTCTATTTCTTATAACTTATTAGAAATACTATTGCCTACTTTATTAATTTTGTAATATAACACGGATTAAAAAATAAAAAATAAAACTTTTTATAAAGTTCTAGTGTGCGTGGCTGTTGGCGCAGGCGTCATTGCCTCGCATAAAATCCTATTTTATGCAGCCTACACCCAGCATAAATACGAACTTTAAGAGCATGAGAAGTGAAAAATAACTTTTTCTTTTAAAATGTTATATTGTCTATGGTCAAATTTAAAAATAATATTTTAAGAACAGGCACGAAAGCTTTCAGTTTTGTCATTCACAAAAAACGCCCCGAATTGATGAATTGGAAAGGTGTCATATTTCATCATGATAATGCCAAAGCACACACATCTTTGCAAATGCATCATAAATTATTGTAGTTAGGTTGCGACGTGTTACTTACTTCTTTCACCGTATTCGCCCGACATAGCCCTATTAGATTTTCACTAATTTCCCTCTTTATAAAATTCTATGAAAAAACATTGATAATGAAGTGACCATCTAACGACACGTAGAGCTGTATTTTAAAAAGTAAAGACAGGAATTTGATGAAAGTGGAATTCGAAAATTACCCGAAAGATGGCAAACAAATTGTACATCAACATGGCCAATAAATAATTGATTAAAATGATTTGATTTTTTTTTTTATGTTTTACATTTATACTTTTTTATGATATCTACCTGAGGGGACGAACAAGGCGTCCAAGTACTTGTCCATAACAATTGCAATGCCTCTCAGAGCTTTAAATTACAGAGATTTGGGGAGCCCTGTCACTGCGCCCGTCACCCTGAGACTTGAGTTGATGTGCCTGTTATTTCAACAGCACCTCTACTCTTCAAAACTGGAAAGCAGTAATGCTAACATTACTGCTTGAGCATTACTGCTTGACGGTAGAAATAAGCAGCAGCTCTACTATTACTTTGATACCGCACGGACTCTGTGGCCAACCCAACACAAGCGAAAACCGCCATAATTTTTGTTGCAAAAATTTTACGTGATGATACAATAAACGTCGTTCCTGATAAATCAATTACAAAAAAGTAGACCAATAAACGACATTCAAAATAAAGAAAGAAAACGGAAAGAAGAACCTAGAGAAGCGATCGATGTATACCGCAGTCTCCCGACCGTTGCAAAACGTGTCATACTGCGGGATCGAGGCTGAAGTGCTGGCGCGAGGATCACCCGTATTTGGAAATATGTGCTGAAACAAAAACCTAATAAATATTTTGTGTCGATCGACATTATACAAAGTCACTATTCAAAGTGTTATTTAGCATGTCAATGGCGGTCATTAACCCCTTTCTACCACTAAACGTTAGTTGTAAAAACGATACTCTCCAATGCTCCCACTAACGTGCCGAAAGGGTTATCGTTAGCGTAACGTGGTAGAAGTCACTTTGACGTACAGATGACCTCTCGGGTTTTAAACTTTTAAATAGTTTGATAATAATTAAAAATATTTTACCTTTATGATTCAAACAATATATAATAAAAAAGTAACAATATAAATACTAAGCAGATCCGTCACTTTGAGGATCTGATTCGAGTTGCCAAATCTAAAGGTGATATTATTTCTACCAAAACATAATAAAGCCAAATTGAGAGCAAAATTTATAAAACCAATTAACACCAAAATTTTAACGCGAATATTTCCGAAACTCGACTCGACTATGTTTAATACAAAATTGCAAAAAGCAACGCGCTTCAGACGTGAAAAATAGGTAAAAACAAACAGGAATAAGTTAAAAATTGCGTTCTTAAAGGGTCTCATTTTTGTTTTATTATAACTATCACATAGCCATTCGCTTATTTTCCTTAGTAGCAAATTAAGAGAGCACGACAGGAGCCTCCATTCTTATCCTGTACGTCTGGCGCATCCAGGGCCACAATCGGCAAGTAATTACAGCAATTGGCAAATACTTTCACCACGATGGCGAACATAAAAAGAAGAGAGAGCTCACACAGCATTTATTTAATTGTAATTTGTTTTTTGAATTTGTTATAATTTTTTTTCATAACAGTATCGTTGTCGTTTGACTATTTTGAAGTCTTAAATTGTTAATAAAAGTTCGATTTAAAGATTAATGGGCTTGTAAGAAAGCTTACGAACCTTAAAAGCATCCAATTCTCTCGACAAATCCTCATCAGAATAACCCTTCATAGCTTTAGTGGCGACTGGTCCCATGTAGTTATTGACCACAGCGAACTCGAAGAGTGAGAGAAATACGAATACGGAGCATGATGACATCCAAACATCGATTGCCTTTACGTAAGAAACCGGTGGGAGGGATTGCTGCGATTGTGTGTTTTGGGTTGCTGAAACAAGAAGTCATCAACATGATGAATCTAACCGTGTTGACCATTGACTTACAATTATATGGACGTCGGGTCCGCGCTAAAAAGTGTCCGCACTTGTAAGGCGCTAAAATCGTATACAGAGCGCGACACTCCGCTTTAGTCTTCATTTGTTCTACTGACAGCGCGATACTGCGATGACATTACAATTTAAATTTCGAATAGGTTGACTTGGGACATTTTTTTCGTGGTTTTTGTATTAGACCCGTCGTCCATTTATTTGTAAGTCAATGGTGTTGACGCTAAAAAGAGAAAGGTAGACAGACAGTCCTATGACATTGATAATCCGTATTTCCAACTCTTCCAATTAAAAATGTTAAGGATAAACAGTTTCTATTCATTCATATGCTGGAGGTCCAGTTTCCAGCAGCAGATTATCATTCGGCTGAAAAACTGATAATAATATCGAAAATTTGAACCGGAAATACAGAATACCAATGCCATCTTTACAGTTAATGAGCTGCTCTGAGCCACCTGTATCCAACGCGTCTTTTAGACCTTCACCAACCGATGGTCGTCTTTTCATGCAGTTCGTAAAGACTCGGAAGGGACTTCGCGTCAGAATCAAACTAACCTTCGGACTATAAACCCATTAAGCTGCCTTCAATATTCCACTTCTACACATAGGTAGGTTACAAAATAAACAATGTTTGGCGATCGCAGTTACGCTGCAATCTATAGACAGGGAGATGCCGCTCCTCTATTCGACACGCTTGAAATAGGTACATACCTTCAGAAGAAATTCAATGGTTCAGTTACACAGTAGGTAAAGCTTCACCGGGATAAACTTAATAAGGTTCATTAACAGTAAAGCTCGGGTGATGAACTTTGCATACGTCTGGCACACATTAGCATAAGTTTACGAACTTAGACTGTGCAGGTGGGTGTTAATGTGGTATGTCATGATTTTGTTTTTGAATGACTTTGTTTAGAAGTTGCTGCTAAAGTGGGTCAAGATAAATCGTATTTATTTATTTTATAATTCTATTTAATATTTTGAAAAGTATTTTCATACTTAAAAGAAGGTCTCAACCTTGTATGAAATTTTGTCTATATCTAAGACGAAATAAAGTATTTTTATTTTTTGTTTATTAAGTCCGGAGTTTCATCTGCACAGTCATAGAAATGTAATGCGTAAAATAATTTTGGTTTTATAAATGATTTATTGGGCTTATGGTATTACATTTTACTACTGTACTTTTATCTGTAAATAATAATTTCATAAACCATATCACAAAGGCGGTCTTCATAGTTCACAGCCAAAATGCTATTTCTATAGTCTATGGTACTTGCCAATAAACTGAAACATAATGAATTTTAATAAAAGAACGTCATTTTTTACGTATATAAATATAATACTAAGAGCTCTGAGTATAATACTCACATGAGCCTGTAATTTCACCAGAACCCTTACCCTTCGAAACCGGAATGCAGTAATACTCCCATTACTGCTTGGCGGCAGAAGTAGCAAAGGTGGCAGTACTTCCCTAGACGAACTCTTTCACAAGGAGCTCTAGTGCTACAGAATTTTCGTATTTTTGCTAATCAAGAGAAGAACTGTAGTGTTCCTGAACAGAGTAACGTCACTGTATTTGTGAAATTTATTAAAATTAAAATTATTTTATCAAGTAATTTCTTAAAATGTTACATAATAATTACAAAGGCTTTACGTTATATTTGGCAAAAAATAACTATTTTGTAAACAAATAGAAAATGAAACTATTTTTCCGGATTTAAATCGCGTATATTTGTTTTATCAAACAAACCGATATTTAGGGTCCTTTACAGGTCCCATGGTCACGGTTGACTGAGGTGATACAGTCACCAACCAGTTATGTCTAATATTAACGGAAACCACCCTATTTTTTCACTATAGTTATTAATTAAATACCTTATTTTATTTTTTTTACAGATTTTTTTACAAAGAAATTTTTTTTTTTTACAATTATTGAATGAATGAATGTTTGAAAAAACAAATATACGCGATTTAAATCCGGAAAAACAGTTTCATTTCCCATGTGTAACAATCGCGAAAACCTAAGAACTCGATATTTATATAAACAATAAAAAATAACAAATATGACGCTACTCAAACGCTTTACTGCCACCTGTTTGGTTAAAACATAAGCGGTACCTACTTGGCCAACCACAGACACTTCTATTCTTAATTCTATTCTCTTTGATTTGTTTTGTTTTGTAGTGTTCGTTTGGCTATTGTTTGAGTTTTTTTTCATGGACTGTTAACAAATGGCACCCCTCATGGAAGAATGGCATAAGTGGAATTACGTCAAACATGTTTATTGCTCCATTAGAAACAGAAAATATAACCCACATCGTCTCCAATTGGAGATTAGATACAGAAAAACATAATCCACATCCTTTCCAATTAGGGAGGATGTAGGTTACATTTTTCTATGTATTAATGGAGCAATAAACATGTTTGACGTAATTCCACCTATGCCATTCTTCCATGAGAGGTGCGATTAATAATCTTTAAATACTGGTGGTGTTTCATTATTTTAATTTACTCGTAGAAAAAGTATTGTACGTAATCATTACATAATTAGGTCTTAAAATATCGTACCTTTTACTTAGGGCCACGAGCACTGACTTTAAGAACCCTCATTATGCAACAATTGCATAAACTACTATTTTACAACACACAAATGGAACCTCTTACCCCACACAAAAAATAGCGTATAGATACAGCACAGTACCGTGACTATATATATAATTTTCCAGCAATTTTGTGTCTTGTTTTATGAAGGGACCACTCAACTTTGCACCAAATAAGTAATCATTTTATTTACCATTGTCAAACCATCTTTCATAAACTACATACTTTGTCATCAGTAAACATTTACCTAACGTCAGCAGAGAAGTGACTCCCAAAGTGACTCTAGCAGGAATGGCTTCGGGCTTGATCCAGAATGAGATCCAGGACATAACGACGATCAGAGCTGATGGTATGTACGTGTGGAAGAGGTGGTAGCCGAGCCGGCGACGAAGATTAAAGACTATAGCTAGGCAGGTGAAGTTACCTGAAAAATTCAAGGTTAGTTTCCTCATTTAACTGTGAACAATGATATACTACTATGTTGTAAGTATCAAGTGACACACAGTATTGCAGTGTCACTGAAAGCTTTAAATCGCAAAGATCTGTGGGCCACTACCACTGCCCCAGTCACCCTGAGACACAAAAGTAAAGAAATCCCATTTGCCTATAGTTTCACCGGCATCTATACCCTTCAAAATCGGATACCGGACCGGAGGTATGGTGGCAGTACTTCCTTAGATGAACACCTTCACTGGGAGGTCTACTGCTACTATGTTTATGACGGCAATTTAAAGGAGGTCCTACCACAAAATTTAGTATGTGTATAAACAAGCGCTAAGGTCGTTTTCGTCGATAGCTGATTTTTCTGTAAAGCAGATTATCCACGAGATTTACTATACCTGTAGAATATTCAATAGTACAATCAGAAGTGTAGTTGTTAGAAATATCCAGTTGCGGCAGCTCGATGTCAGGATTCACCACTAGAGGGTCCGTTAGGTTCCAGATGAACACCAGGTCGTGGACAGTATGGGATACTGCAAGGAGATAGCGTTGTGCCTTTACTATAATATATTGTATAAGAATAAATTCTTATGTTTTGCAATAGTAAAATTAGACATTTATGCATTAAAGGAGTCCATATTCTATTACCAGCAAGACTTATTCTTCTTGGTCCTTTTGAATCAAATCAAGTTTAAATGAAAATATTGTGAAGAAACCTGACAAAACGCGATTTTGCGATGCATTTAATCAGTATTGAGCATAGTGTGGTAAAGGCAAAATACCTTCATCTTCCATGCAATTAAGGTACAACCATAGATATAGGGTACAACTCACAATACAATGCACCGAAAGATGCTAACTTACGACTTTCAATCATCATAGAACAACTTTGAGTGTCATGTGGGTAGGACTCGAATTTCATGGCACAGGATAACACCAATGTCAATCTGAAAATGAAAAGGAAATTGAAATTTGAGTCGCCCTTTAGCTCTAAATTTAAACAGAGCAAAGTTACAGTTTTGGAACAACACGGTTTTCAGAGAAAAGTAGACATGAAAGGGTTTTTTGCACAGTACTACGAAATATTGAGCATGCTTTTACGAAAGAGATTGGCATGAATATTTCGTATCAAACATTGCAGCGGAACGGAGTCGCTGGAATGCTCGAGCATTCCCGTGAAAGCTCGTGCATTCCAGCGACCGCGCCTTTAGGCTGTATTTCGTCGACGTTTGACGTCACACTGCGCCTGCCTAAGCGCCACTGTCCGTGGATTCGCCAGGCGTCGCCGACAGCAGCTGCGGAATCCTCGTGAATGTGTAAGCATTTTTGAGCATGCGTGAGAATTTTATGACAGATTTTTGGCTCGTATCTAGTTTGTCCGTTATACATGATCCGTTACCATAAAGTTCATTAAGTACGCTATGTACAATAGATATCGTTACACAAATTCGCTTCCATTCCAATCCGCCGCATTTACGCTTTAGGTTAGATTACAATTGAGCCTTAGGTTACACATAGGAAATGAAACCATTTCCTTCGGATCTGCGTATATTTGTTTTAGTTCCATGCCACGGCAGTCAACCATGATTATGGGGCTTGTAAAGAATCCGAAACGTTGGTTTGTTTTGATAAACAAATAAGTTGGATTTAGATCCGAAAAAATAGTTTCATTTCCTGTAAATATTTCACTCGGAATTTGGATTACAGACTACAAAAAAAACATTTACAAACATGGTATACCACTTACTTAGACATATACAGCAGAGTTTTATCATGATACAGCCACAAATAATGGTTAGGAATGCTCATTTCGTGGAAGGTAACTTTCTTGGCATTCTTGAAAAAGCAGTCTGGTCTCCAAATGTTGTTCAGCCATTCCACATCCAGGATCCTGTACTCCTCGTGCATATTTTCTGGTAGCCGGAGACGCGGATCTCGCCAGGATTGGGCGAGAAATATGTCTGCGACATAGGTCTGGAAGAATAGGAACAAAAATGTAACGACGTAATGGTTAGACCGTCCTACTCTGGGACAGTAATCAAAATCAGAATTATCCAAAACTATGCTGAAAAGACCTCTCCCCGATTGAGCCTATAATGCAGATACAGACTGTTTCAAGGCTTTTGCCACCAACTGTTACTTGCCACTCTCATCAGATCCTCTAAAAGTTGTTGTTGTTGTTGTTGTTTTTGTTTTTTTTTTGTTTTGTCCCTTAATAAAAAAAACAATCGTGGTTGCCTTGAAGTAACTTTGGCTATGTATTAGTAGAGTCTTCGAATAGATAGCAGTGAAACTAAAGCGCATCTTACCATACTCTCTTCATTAATAGAATCCAAAGATAGAACAGTGACATGAAAGTAGACGATAGTGGGTTGGCCCAGGAGCTTCGGCGCCCGGTTTTTATCGTAATACTTCGCCTTGACTGGAAGGATGTCCTGCAACGACAGGCTGGACTCCGATTTGAGCTCTATTTCTTGGTATGAGGAGTTTGTTCTGAAAATCAAAATAGTTGTATTGAAAACTAAACTAACGAACTCACCGGATGTTTCTGGACAGACACTTGTATCCCCTCGTATAAAGTTTCCACTTTGGCGGTAACTGTTTGGAAAAAGGGGCTCTTTGAAATTTCTAACTATAGTCTAGGTCGTAAAGTCGTTTGAAATGGAATATTCTTATAATCCTAAAACGTTTTGCACAAATAATACTCCAGCAAAATTTTTAAATAATTAGATCTATTCAATATTGATTGCTAGATTGTAAATTTGCTACGTGTTTATATTTCATTCCAAGTATCTGTATCTACCTAACTACTCGTAATTATAGGTAATAATAATAATAAATTTTGAACGAAAAAAAGTTCCTAACAGCATCCGCGAGGGCATTATCCTCCGTATAATTGAAAACACATCTTCTGGCTGTTAAGTGCATGTTTAACTTTTGTGTTTTGCAGGTGATAGGGTCCACCATATCTGTACCTGGTGAGACCTTGATTATAAGTGCCACCTCCATTGCTAATCAGCACTTGTTCGGAGATTTGGGTTGAAGGGTAGGGACAGTAAGCGCTATAAGAGGCATAAGGGATTTCAAATATTTCACGAATGTGTTTTTCCGAATTTCGTTATTCCTAAATAAGGTTGGAATTTTTTTTATAAAATATAAGTAATACAATTTTGTTTCATTAATGCTATTACTGTTTTGGTATAAATTTGTAACACAGAAATATCTTACAGCAGACGTATCATTTGTCGGAAAAACTATTTTTAGAAATGACATTACATTTAAGTATTCTTTTGGCAGTAGTTTGTTTGGTCTATTCATGTTTACCTTACTATCTGTTTTCCATATAGTTTGCTAGGTACTCGTTTCGTAAAAATTGTTTTTCTTAGATGAAATTATAGAGACATGGTAAATAAACCCAAAAGTACAATATGTGGGCAGCGGTAAACATTGGTGCGTCCTCGTTTTGAATGTTAGGTTAGTTATGAAAAAGCAGAAGTTAATTTGTTTGCATTTTCGAACCTGTTTTAAAGTCTGTAAATCATGTTTCTGGCTTATGATAGGTAGCCCTGACTGACTGCTTCAGCACCATCCACTGCTGGGTACAGGTCTCCTCTAGGGAGGGGGTTTAAGCCCAAGTCCGTCACGTATGAATTAGAAGACTCCGCATGTTTTTCAAAGGTCGAAAACCTTTTTCGAAGTGCAATTTTCATTACGATGTTTTCCTTTATCGTTAGTGACAGGTATTGCAACTACACACTCACAAATTTACGTAAATTACATTTTTTTTCATTTCCCATGATTTTAGGGGCACATGCTGCCACATTGATTCGCTACGTCGGTTGCTCATTTACTCAGTTACCACTGCTCATTGGTCTGACTCTTATCGGTCAGTATATTAAGTTTTTTTTTGCTTTTATAATAATATCAAGTGACGGGACGAACAAGTCGTGCACCTAATGGTAAGCTACGCCTACGCCCGTCACCCTGATACATAAGTTGACAAGTCCCATGTGCCTGTAATTTTAACAGCACCCTTACCCTTCAAAACCGGAACACAGTAATGCTGATACAATACTAAAATTTTCATTTTCATAAGTATCAAATACTTACAGAAAACTGACGGCAGCTATTCTTCTGGCTTCCGAAGATCTTGCTGAAACTAGAGTTAGCAGTAGCTGAACACATGATTTCCACTTCATCTTGGAGTTCAAAGTCTTTTGACTTTGCTGTATTTCTCTTTAACCTTCAACATCACTTTTTTATCTTAAATTCGTTCATAATTATCAATTATTTGCAACAGTCATGTCGTACCACTCAAGTTCAATTAGGACGTTTCCTGTAACATGCATAAAAATTATTAACATTGATGATTTTTTTTCAAATTCATAAGTATTTATATCATCATTTTTATCACCATCATCACACCATATATTATATATCATTTAGTACTCTTAGCAGAGGGATTTAGGCCATAGTCTATAACGCTGGCCCAAGACAGAACTTTCAAAGTCTTAATGAAGGAATTTAAGGAAGCTTTAGGTACTAAATAATAACCGTTACTCAGGTTTTCAAGAGTAGACACGAGTTAAAAATGGTTTCAACTCGTGAGTGTTAGTAGAGGTTTATTCTCAGTAAATATGTGTTTCTATCAATGTGTACTAATTTATGTTCCATGTGCTTTTGTGTTATATCTTGTCAATCTCTATGACAATCCCTTGATTGTAAATGTTTGTATTTAAACTGGATAAACGTTTTATCTATGTATCTATTTAGAAGCGCAGTGGCAGCGGCCATCGACGTGACACACGCACGCCGCTTTTGCCGTCACAATTAAGGTGAGGCCAGACGAGCAAGAATTTTGTAAGTTGTGTAGTGTCGATTGAAATTCGGTTGGAGCGCCAGACGATCGTATTTCATTACGTTGCTTTTAAGCGTTTGTACGGGGTGCTTGAGATATACAGTGTAATCGAGCAAGAAATGTGTGCACTCACGCACACCCACACCAGCACGTCGCACGGTGCTACCGAAATCAGTCGTCATGCGTCGTCGTGTGGTATAAAACGTAATTTTATAATATATGAAACCGAATGCAGCGTATATTACGAAACTCAAATAACGCAACTCACGAACGTAATTTTACGTTCGTCTGGCCTCACCCTAAGTGAACTAAAAATTATTAAAGCGCTACAGACGTGCGATTGTCGCGCCATAGCTTTAACAAGCGTAATTTGAAGGTTAACTTAGCAGATCCTCATTGACTAAGTCTAAATGATGCAAAGCGCCTTTGGACAATAAATAAATCATAAAACTATCCCGTCTTTACAACCCAAAGGAGATCTTTGTCTCGGACTTGCTACGCAAGTTTTAAGCATTTACGTGACGTTCTTTAGGGTGCATACAGATCTGGCGAGTGCGCCGCGAACGCACTGCATGTGCAATGCACGCGCACTTCAAGCGCGCTCCACGCCAGTTGTTAAATACATAATGTATGTGGCAAGAGTGGCGCGCGAACAGATCACACAACTAATGTACGTGTGCAACTCACAAGCCTTTCTGATCTGTGCACACCCTTAGTGATAACACGCCTGTCCGGTTGGGCGGCTAAATTATCGATTATTCAATTTGTCGAATGCTAATTAGGTCAAGGAACATCAGAGCGATTTTTTGTGCCATTAGTGACGTATTCATACCAAAAGACGAGACTATGTTCTTTTCTGTGAAAATTGTGAAAAATCATTATAACAATTTATAACAGTTATTAACATTTGGAAACGGGAATAAACGCGTTTACATACGAGTAGGTATTTTTCACAACTACCTAGTTTCCCGACGTTTCGGCCAGGTTGCACTGGCCGTGTGGCCGTGGTGTGAAAAATACCTATTCGTATGTAAACGCGTTTGTTCCCGTTCCCAAATGTTAGTACAATGCAACAGTTATGTCTCATTTCTATGTCTGCTGTCAAGATTCTGTCCTACGATATAACTACTGAAACAATATTCACCAGCTTAGGTTATGTATGTAAGTACTCATATCAATGAAGGCATCCAGTTTTCACGAAGTCTTACACACCTTACAAGTCTAATCCGTTTAAAGGGTTGTATAGTTCACACGTAGCACAGATTATGCATATATAACCAATACAATGCCTACACAACCTATTTATGTATGATTTACGTTTCTATCTTTGTTAGCACCTGGTTATATTATCTACATTCAGATTGTAGCAAAAAGGTGGGATCGCATGAACACGATACCTACCAACTTTTTTTAGTAGCAGTAGATGTGTGAAAGAGTTCGTCCAGGGAAGTACTGCCACCTTACCTATTTCTGCCGCCAAGCAGTAATGCTCACGTTATTGCGTTACGGTTATGAAGGGTAAGGGCGCTGGTGAAATTACAGGCACATGGGACTTCTCAACTTATGTCTCAGGGTGACGGGCGCAGTGGCAGTGCCCCTAAGATCTTTGCGATTTAAAGCTTTGAGTGGCACTGCAACTGTTATGGACAGGCGTGTCGCTTACCACCGAGCGCACGACTTGTTCGTCCCGTCACTTGATATTATTAAAAAAAAAACAGATTCATTAGCATAAATAACTGAGGCGGTATATAAACGTAACATTTTGGTACAAGTTTTTGGTGGGGTGCATGAAATGCCATCCCCTTTCCGTCACCGAGGGACTTGACGTAGACTGGGCTTGGATTCCACCCCCATGTTGTGGATATTCCATAGATTCGCACGAAGCGTTACGCTTCCACATTTATATAGCCAATGGCTATGGAGTGGAATTCCCTGCCTGCAGACTTGTTGCGTGAACGTTATAACTTGGGCCTTTTCAAGGCGAGAGTTAATAGGCATTCATTAGATGCGCATGTTCCATCGTCGACCTCATTATCACTTGCCATTAGGTGAGATGATGGTAAAATGCGCACAAATTTTATAAAAAATAAAAATAAAAAAAGCTGGTTGATGGCTATTATTTGCATAAATTAATACATAATAATTTCTCCCATTCTTTTAACCTACATTAACTTTAATATTAGGCCAAATCCCCGTCGCCGTAAAACATTTATTATGTGCATGTATACAAAAATAATACTTCCGTTTATAATCCCTTGACGAGAATGTGCCGAACCTATAATAAATTAATAACATCAAAATCTGGAGGTGAATGGAATGAGATTGATGTTTTTGACCAAAATTTTGATGCTTTCGTCCAAACTCATGGTACCACGTTTTCGTTTAACTAAGGTAAACGATTCTTTTATGGGTAACTAACATATATTAAGATTACTATTTCCTTAGTTTAAAACTTACATTAAAAGTATTTTAATTGAAAAGTCATATTACAAAACTGTAGACTACGTGTTAGATAAAGATGTATGGAAAGACAAGGTGAGTCTAGATTCCACACAAATATGATTCAAAATGTATTCTATAGCATTTAAGCTTATTTGTTGTGTGAGTTTCTTGCTCGTTCTTCTCAAAGAGGTCAGCGTAGTGAACGAGCAGTAGCTTAAAAAATTACGTTTTCAAATGTAAACATTTTACCTATGGAATAAAGTTAGAGGATGGAAAAAAATAAAGGAAATAAATGATTATTTGACTTTGACAACACCATTTCCAGATTTCGTAACGGTATTCAGAATCACTTCGCCTCGTCTTCCCAATAGTCATCATTTTGTATTTTTATTTCCACTAGTTATTACGCTTTTGTATATTAGGTATTTAATTTTTATCTATATACACATGTTGAAGAAACTTACTTTTAATATTAATGTTTACGAGCTGAATAATCATGCTCTATGTACACATATGTTAGGTTTCCATTCTAGATTAAAACCATAAATTCCAACATTTATTGGAGTAAGTGCCATTGAATGTAAATTGTTCCGTGCGTCAAATAAAGAAATAAATAAAAGAGGTAACTATTGCTATTACCAAATCCGACAGCCGTGACCATATGACATATAAAGAGCTCCGAAACAGACATACGCAATTTAAATAAAACAATGTTTTGTTTCCAAGAAGAATAAGGTTTAGATATTTTTGTAAACTTTTTGACCTTTTTGCAAGACCATCTGCCCCACATAACGTAAAATACGTAATCGGATGCAAAAATCGAGCGCCACGACGCGATCGAGTATACGGCTTCATTAGATAACATACAATTCAGTCAATAGGGTAAAAATGTATACCACACCACGGATGTCAATTAAATTCTCGTTTCAAATTAACTAGGTTACAAATGTTGAAAACAAGCAGGTCAAAATCGCAGCAAATGGATATCTCTCGTTTTTGCATAGGGGGAACAGATGATAAGCAAAGTAGCAACATATGCATTTTTTTTGTTGGGAATTACGCGATACCTCTTTTACATAGTTTCCCAAAGTGGTCCCTACCGCCTAGGGGGCGTTGAAGAGACCTAAGGTGGTAGGGTCCTCGGAAGCAATTGGGGGGCGTTGATGCTGTCCAGGAGGTGTTAAGTTTATACATAATACGTGTTTTTGTTACTTGTCTACGTGGGCCAAAATTTTTGGGAACCATGATCTATTATGTCGAATGTCAATCGTTAAACGTTGTACTGCCAGAGTAGAGAAAATACTTTCTTCTCTACCGACTATAGTGCTACTAAAGTACCTAATAGTGTGCGCAATGATCGTGCTCTACATTGATAGTTCTATCTTTGTAACCGTGCTAAGGCTGCTGGTATCCACTACCCTTCTCTTGAATTTACTACAATATTAAAGTTTCTCTCTAATACAAACGTTTTCTTCAAGAGAGGCTATTCGGTTAATTAAAAATTCATATATTGAAAAATTACGTAGTGACTAATTCATAACAGTTATAAATGAGGAGAAGATAGAAGGAAAAAGAAAATGATGAAGACCAAGAATTAAGTCCTGTGAACAAATAAAAAAGAATATCAAAGTGGGCGGCTATAAGAGGTTAAAGTATGGACGAGGCTACATCGACAAGACACGCCTATGGAGTGGAATTTTCAGATTTGTTCTCTGAACGCTGTAACTTGGGTCTTTTCAAGGCGAGAGTGAATAGGCATTGTACATGCTCCATCGTCGACCTCATCGTCACTCTCCTTCAGGGTGAGACGAAGTCAAATACACACTTTTTTTTTAATATTAACAAAAGAGTGGCGCTCTTAAATAGAGTGACGATGATAAAGAATAACAATAAACACAC